CTCTATCCCTGCTTGCGGCGTCTGGACTCTCCCTTTCCACTACCCGGAAAGCAATTGTATATTGCGGTCCAACGATAGCAAAGTATGTGGCGAGAGAACCAATCAAAAGCCCAAAAAATCCCCAACGCATTCTCTTGTAATGAATATCTTCGGGACTTTCAGTGTTTGGTGGAGCTGAACCTTTCGGCCACGACGGGAGGATGTCCAACAGGGAGCCCGGAGAGGAAGAAACAGATAGCGTCACCTTTTCATCTCCGCATGTCTCTGCATATACCCTTTGTGCATGCGAGAGAAGCGAGGGGTATGAATTAGATATGAGATCTTTGAGAAGGGGATCAGGAAATGGTGGCTTTGTGAGGAGGAGAATATGGGCAGCAAGTAAGAGATCCAGTGATGTAAGTCTATAGCGAAACTGGGGTTGATAGTAGGCTTCAACATCGAAAGAGAGCTTACTTATTTCTGAAGACAAAACTTCTACAGTCCAAGAGCTCGGAATATATTTCAAGTTCAGCCCGAGCCTTCGCTGTGACCTAAATCTAGTGTTAGAATTGAATGCAATAGAGGTTGCTTGAATAATTTGGACCTTTTCCCGATCAAATGCGCGGGATAGTGTAGGAACGTTTTTCAGTCTTGTCTTTTCCAAAGGCTTTGTATCCCTAGGAAACGGAGATTCTGCAGGTTTTTCTTCCGTGTTCTGCTTGCACAAGCCTGCGGCGACGAGCCGGTGGAAGTAGGCGTCCCGCATTCGTCCAGGAACATAATACTTCTGAGGGATTGGGAACATCGAGGCCAGTGCGGGATTCACCAGTTTTGTCCAGTTGTCCTGATTTGTGTAAAAATTAGCGTACTGTGGGACTCGTGAGCATGAGTGAGGTTTTCCTGGACGAGAAGGAGAATGGCATACCACCAGGTCTCCCAAGTGGTATTCGACATGTGCATACCAGGCGGTTCTTTGGGCTCTTTCCGTAGGAGAAAGGTCCCGATCCGGGTCTACAATCTTGAGCCTTGAAATATATTTGACGATAGAGGCGAACGAGGAAACTGAGAACTGTTCATGGATCAAGAATGGTAGATGGCCTAAATCCGATGCCTAAGCGACTTGTAATCAGGAGAGGAGGAACGGTTCAACACACCAGTTGGCGAAGAGTCTGAATTCGAGCATTCTACCAGCCTGAATTTGCCAGGAATTGTGGCCTGCATGTACAAAACCGCCGCAAGACAAAGTGGATCGAATGAAGGAAGATCCCAACGACCAGGCCAGATATGAAGGACAATCCCTGGGGCTGGTAGGATGTCACTCATTGTTTCCGGCTGCTACACGGGAGAGCTCAAAACTATGATGCCGCTTATGTAGCATCGGAAATAGACGACGCGCTGTTTCGCTTTGTTTACAATCACGATCCTAGGTGGGAAATACTTATTCCATGCTAGGCAACAGCTAAATTCTGATAACAATACAATACAAGGTATGTATCTACAAATAAACTAACGCAGAAGCCGTGAGGCAGGGTGGAAAACATAAAGATAGCATGACAGAAGTCGAGGAACAGAGTGGACAGCATATGGAGTAAGATAGCAGAAAGCGAGAACAAAAAAAGGCGAGAGCAAGTAAAGCATAGAAAACATTAAATCCATAAATTCAGAATTTGGATTCGCCCGATGTCGAGGCCGTACCGGGACTTTCACTTCGAGAGGATCCGCCTGGAAGGCGTATGCTTGTAATAGGAGGTGCGTATCGGGATTGGCGAGGAAGGAAAAATTGACCTTCACCAGCGGCTTGAGACATAGGTTGTTGGGTTGCCGTCCAGCTAACCGTCCGTCGAAGCTCGGCGGAAGGACGGCGAGCATCGGTGGGAAACTGGATAAACGCAATGAGATCAAACAAGAAGGATGGGACATAGAGTACGTACTGCATGGCCCCACATGGATGGCACCATTCTAGGTCTCTTTATGGGAGGCTTTTCGAGTTCTTCAGATTCACATCGAAGGTGGGGCGGAAGACTAGCGATTCGGCGACTGGAACGCTTTGGTGTTTGGGTAGACTTCTTCTCTTCCATGGCTATACCTTGAATTTCCAGGAACTCTGGAGGGTATCCTAAAATTAAACCTAGTTCGTGACCAAACACACTGTCCACGCACCCGGCGATCGATAACGGAAGACAAAGGAAACGTAAGTGGACGGTTTAGCACCAGGAGTTTCATCTTCATATGCAGTCACCTGCCAGGTGGTATCATATTGCTCGTATGCCTTGACCTCCTGTCCAAAGCTGCGAAAAGAATAGCCGACGTCAAATTTCAGAGGTATACATCATATACAGGGCACATACCCAATAGAAAGATCTCCAACCTTTCGCTTGCCTAATACAGAGCTTGGAAGCGATTGCAGAGAATTTGCAGGTCGGACGGCGACGCGTCTGATTCTTTTGATTTTGAGAATAATCATTCCTGCGTCTTTCCCTGAGCTTTGCAACGGAGATTCTGAGACTAGGAAGCTTTTGTGAAAAGAAAACAGACATCATTGGGCCACTCACCATTTTCTGGGACTTTCTGAAATATGAAAGGCTTTTCACTGGATTTAGACACCCTCACGCCACCCCTCGACGCAATCCCATCCCCGAACAAGAATCTTCCTGGTACAACGAGGCCGTCTAGAGTGATGAATGCGCATGAATCAATTGTGCCACCATGATCCTGCCAATACACTGTAAATGTCTACGCAACAGTCAGACACGAGCCAGTGGCTTAAGCTTAAGAAGTGCTTACCTGGCCCTCGATGCCAGGGATCCAGCATGACACGCGATTTGCAGTCTCATCCAAGGCCACTAAATATTCTGGAACTGCATTCCCGTTAGATTCGATCCACGCAGAGAAACCGCGATGCTTAAGCATGCCGCTGAGGCTTTCAGAGCAGTTAGGGGTTGGTGGGAAAGAGACGACTCCCAGCGCCTCTCAACCTCGTGAGAGGAGAGAATACACCTGTTGAAATAAACCAATAATTAACGTCTGGAGAGAACACCAGCTAGAAAAGAGAAGAAGAAGTAGCCAGTTCCTATTCGCCTTATGGGTTGGGTAGAAAAAAGTCAAGTTGGGGTTGGTTCAAGTTTTCGGCATCACTCGTTTTTTCCCATATCTGGAGAGTTATCCCCGCACGTCTCGATCGCGTTTGTCACGTGCGTGACCAATGACCTTTCGCTCCAAGTCTCTTAGAATAATCAGCAAGGCACACTTCTTTTCCCTTTCAAGACCTGCACGACCACGTCTGCTTTTCAACCACACACTTGTGAACAAGCTACCTCTCAGCGCCATGCCAGCACCGTCGCGTTCATCCTCCAAGCGTAAAATTGAGCGCGACGAAGAATCCGACCCCGAAGTTGGCATCTCACAATCATCCCAAATCTCAAAAAAGATTCGCACAGAGAAGAGTTTTGCATCGGAAAATAAGCAACCCACCAACAAAGTCCTCCCCGTTCAAATTGTCCTACCCAAGAAGCTCTCTGGGACGTCGCGCATCGTGACTTGGAATGTCTCTGGCTTTGCTGCCAGTTCAAAGAAGGCAAGTACGCGTTTTTTCTCGCGTCATAGCCAATTTTGACTCGCCGGTTTCTGCAGGGCTTTAAACATTACCTGGAGGCAGAGGATCCGGACATCCTCATCATTACCGAAACAAAGGTGCGCCGAACACAAAGTTTGGCTCTGTATATTAAAACATATAGGACCTGATGCGCATTCTTACCTTAACACAGCTACAACAGCCACCAGCTGATCCTTCGTTGACGACGAGGTTCCCTCATCAATACTGGTCGAGCTCTGCGACAAAGGGCTACGGTAAATCCCCCCTCTTATCCAGTGTTACTGATTTCAAACATCTCGTTTTACTAGCTGGTACCGCCATACTTTCAAAACAGGCACCCTTGAGCACTACAGACACTCTTCCAGGCCATCCAAACCCAACATCGGTCAAAGGCAGAATTATCACTCTGGAGTTTGACAAGTGTTACCTTGTAGGCACATACGTCGTGAACGCTGGCCAGGGCTTGAAGGTACACTCAACTCCACAAAATATTTCAACATGCAGCATGACTAACGAAGGCCCCTATAGACCTTGGAAGAAAAGAAAATCTGGAACACCCATTTCTTCCCATACTTGCGCGAGTTGGACAAGAAGAAACCAGTTATCTGGGCTGGCGATTTTAATGTTGCCCCAACGGAGCTCGGTGCGCATCTACACAAACTGATACCAGGCCCCACCCTAACTCATGCCGTCCAGACCTCGCGAACCCGAAGCCTAACTGGAATAAGACAGCTGGCTATACCGAGGTCGAGACAACGGCTTTCAAGAATTTCCTTTCACCCCCAGAAGACCCCGAAGCGAACAAGTTTATTGACGTCTGGAGGAACCGTCATCCAGATGAACGTGCTTACAGCTATTTCTCCTACCGTTTCAACTGCAGAGCCAAGGGAGTCGGCTGGAGGCTCGATGGATGTACGTGCACCTTGATTTCTGAACTTGCCTTGTTCTAAATTCCGCCTAACAGTTGTCCTGAGTGAACGTTTGTTGGAGCGCACCAAGCTGGTAAGTGCTAACCCCTCGCCTGCTCCAAACATGTTTTAACTTTTCCTCTTCGAAGTGCGAAATTCGAGACGAGATATATGGAGCATCGGATCATTGCCCAGTGGTCCTTGAGATCGATGGGACACTTTAGACTAGAGAATTGGCAGTGGATGGATTTCTATCCGCTTCAAATAAGTTTTACTGTGTTTTGTCTTCACCTAATGCATGATGCTCCCGTTCAAGGTATATTGATACTTCTTGATTTTCAATGGGGGCATAGCTCAGTTGGGAGAGCAGTAGACTGAAGCGACTTGTGTATTCTAAAGGTCCCGCGTTCGATCCGCGGTGCCCCCATTCATTTTCCTTTTCCTTTTCTGGAAAATATTTCCTTTCAAAGCTTCTCCATCGAAATGAAATCCTCTGCGGACGTGCCAAGCTGAACTTCAACGGGGGCATAGCTCAGTTGGGAGAGCAGTAGACTGAAGCACCAACCTTGGCGTATTCTAAAGGTCCCGCGTTCGATCCGCGGTGCCCCCATCTTTTTCCCATTAGAAGCGCCCAATTTTGCGTTGAAGGAGATGGCTGAAAAAGCATATTCTTTTTTTGCTGACGCTTTGCATTATTGATCGTGTCGCTAATCCCGCTCAATATTGATGGCTGGATCGTGTGGCTACTTAATGCGCGGACGTGTAAGGATTAATACTCTCCGAATCGGACATGACCTGTCTGCTCTGCATGTGCCCGGGCACCCTTTTCACCCTTTAATCCTTGACCACATTGCTGTAAGATCAGAATCAGTTAGCATTGCGATCTGCGCAGAGGCACACGAGCAACTGACTTCGCATTTCAGATCGAACGTCGAGGTGTTCGTGAATGCCTTTTTCGAACGTAGGATATCAGCGAGTTTCTTAGCAGCTGCCAATACGGGATCCGAGTCCCCCGAAGATTTCTGTGCCGCGAATAAGTTCCCGCCTTGTCAGACGGGGTTAAAAAAGAGAGAGCTTACGATAGGAAAGAGAGTCTGATGCCATTCATCTGGAGCTTCGACCATCGGCGCGAGAGAGGCTGCGTCGTAGTGGATGCCTGAATAGATGAAGATTGCACGCATGCCCGTGGACGCCCCGGATCCGGGAGAGAAGTGATCAATTCGACCTGTCTCGACGTCTACGCTCGAGATTTCTGTGGAATAATGGGCAGCAAGGATACCAAGTTCGATGGCTCCTCCCCAGGAGGCAGGCTTGGAAATGGTGGTGATATATTGTGAGGGTGGCATCCTGATCGTAGTTCATGAGGTTCGAACCCAAAAAATTCCAATGTGGGTCGCATGCTCACCCAAGAATGGCTTCGGTATATGTTTCTGGATTGCTTCGAATACCGTCCGCTACAACTGTAGGGGAATTTTATTTATTTAATGAGAGGCCGAGATGGGAGGAAATGCCGCACCCTTGCGCATTTGTGGTGCCTTTGAGATGCTCTGCTCAAAAACCAAAGCAGCAGCTGAGAAGAGACAGGAATTGTCATCGGGTACAACTCTATGTATTAGGAAACTTTCATCGAGGGGGACATGATCTGGACCAGATGCAGGCCGCGGTGCAGTTGTGCCAAGACGAGGAGGCGACGACGTTGGCGGAGGGGCAGGGGCTTCGGCTGCGGCCTCCGTGACGATAATCTGGTCACCGCGTTGTATTCCAATGGACTGGAGAGGAAGTTCAGGGACCAAAGTCAGGGTGCGGGGAGGGTATCCGGTCTTGACTGCGTTGAAGATCAGAAGAAATGTAAAATGAATAACTGAAAGGAGAACTGACGGATCTGGCGTGAAGGAAGGATATTGGAGACGGCATATATTTCTTGCTGAAGATCCTGGACAGTGAACTCGGGTTCAAGGGAAACCTCGATGGTGCAGACGCCCTTTGGATGGCGCAGTCGAATCGGTGCCATTAGTCTTGCTGATCATGATCACTCCCCGTTATACATATCGTCATTCTGCCAAACACAACCAAGCAATCTCGACGCGTAATGCAGACGCGCGTCACCGCCGTCGCGCATATGACCAGCTTCTTTTCAAATGGCTCGCTCTGGACGTCAGCTGGACGATCTGCGCATTCAACGTCGTTATTTAAGATAGAAGGTTGTCGATGCCAATAACCATTGTGGGATTCGAGTTCCCACAAAGACGCGCGACGGCGTTGACGCCCAAGGTAACACGAATGCCGAACTGGATGAGAGACACCCTTGGAGTTCATACCATCGTCATTGTGCGCGTCATCATGAATCACACCGTGGCGCGCTAATATCGAAGACACTCTGAAAAATCCCTATAAATACCACTCGAACTCCCTCGTCGTTCCCCATCCTCTCAACCCCAATTACAACTCCAAGTCAGTATTATTCCCTTCAACCTCTCCTTCACTGTCGCTGATTATTTTATCTGCTTCCAGACCATCAATCTTATTATTCACATCATGGCTGACTCCGGGCGTCAATCTTTCACCGACAAGGCAGGCTCCGCCGTCAAGGTATTTGTTTCCCCACCGCTTGCATACGTCGCGATCGTTGATCTCTTCGTCCCTAAAGCCCGACTCCCAGAAGGGAACCCTCGAGCAGGCCGGCGACTACGTCAAAGGCAAGGCCGACTCCGCTACTGCTTCCATGCAGCCTAACGTCAGCATATCCATGTTTCCTTTGTCGGCATTCCCTTACTTTCTTATTTTTTCAGAGCCAGAAATCCGGTAGCCCGAAGATGGGCGATTCAATGACCAACAACTCCAGCGGCAACAATGTTTGTGCTTTACTTTTATTATCGCTCAATCGATACTAATTTCATCATAGGAGTCTCTCCTTGACCAGGCCAAGAACGCCGTCGGCATGGGCGGTAACAAGAATCAGTAGATTTTTTCCCTGCGCTGCTCTGTAACAATATTTGGTATCATCGCGTGTAACTTAAATTGCTGTAAACAAATCCGACCTCGTTCGTGTCAATATTCGTTATTCGAATGGATATGGCGCTTCCCAACATGTGTAATTGCATCGAGAAAAGGGGGGGATAATATGTAGTTGTGCTAATCCAGGAAAGAACTCAAACTCGGTCGGGTCATGAGAGCGGAACCGATTCAACCACCTTCTCGTCGACTTCCAGATTCTCCACAGAGAAATGTGTTGGAGCCTTCGAGGCCTCCTCTAACTTCCTGCTCGTTTCCTCGGCCTCGTTCACCTTCTCAGAGGCCTCAGTTTCCTTAACCAGGGCCATCCATTCCCTTTCCAATTCGATGTCGTCAACAGCATCATCAACACCTATTGCAATATCCCCTCCCAGACGAACAGCATCGTCCACTTCTCGTGCATCAGAGTTAGCCTCTGCCAGTGCTTCCATTGTCTTGTCGATACTGGAGCGCTGCAATGAGGGGTGCGCAAGGATGGCGCGCAACGTAACAGCCGAGGATTCATAACTTTTCATTATCTAGGACAGAAAGAAAATCAGGGTTTCGTCAAGAAAAGAAGACAGAGGCGCACCTCAACATCTCCTGCAGCGGCTTCGACCGTAATAAACGTAGACTCGAGGGTGCTCAATGCACCTAGACGCTTGTTCAAGAGATCTTCTAGGTGCTTACGCGATCTGATGTAACTCAACGCCGACGCTTTGCGCTTCTGTTGAAGAGCAGATGATGCTTTGCGCGTACAGCTAGCTCAATATGTCAGAGATTGGCAGCAATTATGAGGAGGTTTGGATTGGACGGACTCATCCATCTTATTTTGCAGCGACTCGACTTGAGTATGAAGGTTACGAATTGCGGTTTTCAATTCCAGGATACCACGGTCCACAGCTGTAATTATGCGCTCCCCAGCAGTTGCCGTGTGTTGGACAAATTTGATAATCTAGACAGAAACCGACTCTTAAATTGAAGAACAAGGGAAAGGATATAAGTAGCGCACCTCCTTATCGGCCCTAAGAACACCGCGATCACGTTCCAAATACTTCACCAATACCTTCACGTCCGTTTCCCGCAGGGCGTCATCCTCATCTCCACCACAAACACCAGCAAACGCCGTTCGAAAAGTCTCCATGGTGTACAAAGCATCCCCAGGGCTCGCCATCCTCGCGTTCTGCCTCTCCATAACCGCATCCGCTGCCCTCTCGAGAAGTGGCACAAGTACATAGTCCCCCCACCAGCTCGTATCCTTATGATGATGCTGCCGGCTCCCAGAGCCCAATATTCCCTCTTCGCCAACGACGCCCATTTGTTCAAGCGCCCACCATAATGGCTTACCGACGACATACGCGGCTATCCGCGCAGGTAGCCAACCAGGATCATATATCGAAACCTTGGCGGACAGGAAGTCGGGCAAGGGAACGACGGTGCGGGTACTGCGCAATTCAGTCTTGCTGGTGCGGGTCCACTCAATCAGTTTTTTCTTGGTTTTATTGTCCCTTTGACAGGGAAACGTACGAGTACAGGGCCTATGGCTAGTGGCTTGCCCACTTTGGGGATCTTGACGCGTTCTATTAACTCTTGGCCGGCATGAAGGACAAGTCTATCATTTTTAGATCCAATGTCATGATGTGTGCGCTGTAGACCGGCACCAACGATGGTTTCCAGTGCCTTCCGCCACCACTCAACATTGGAATGATAAGAGGCTGGGTTCGAGTGCTTCTGCCGTGAGAAGTCCGAGTAGAGAGCCTGTAGGCGAGGTATGGATGTCGTTGAGTAAGGAGGTAAAGACATGAGTAGAGACGTAGAGGTCGGTGTGAAAGGCACTGAGCTCGACATCGTGGTCAGAGTCAGAAGATGGAATGAAAGGCAATGGCCGTGACACTCAAAATGGCAACCTTAACGCGTAGCGTCACGTGATTAAAACACATGAATATCCACATCCGGCTCTCGCGGCGCGGTGTATCGTACCGTATTGCAGGAGAGCGTGAATCTACGGAAATAAAGCAAGGGATTCTATAGTATGGCATGTTTGAAATTAGAGTCGAGCGACGGATTCCGCTCCGCAAGCCAGAGGGATACAGTATGAAAATCCTTTAAAAATATGCTCCAAACGGTACCCTAATCATGGACCAAATCCCTTGGCTGTGTGCGAGGTTCTGTTCTTACCCGAGTGAAAGCGAAAAACTTATTCGTTTTAACATGTCATGTAAGGACTGGATACAAATTCCGAATGGATAAAGTATGCAGTGGCATGAAAAAGCAAGGGTACTGGGGTATCTTCAACGAATAACAACAGACGGACCAGAAATTTGAATAGCTGTGAGCTGGATATCAAATCTCTGGTGCCCTTCCGAATCCAAATGGTTGCGAAGACTGCTGGTGGCGGTCTCTCTGTCCCAATTGCAAGAGACTCTCCGAAATACTTTCCATAGATCCTTGGCTCTGAGGACGATGTGTGTAGACACCAGAAGTCACTTGAGATCCTTGGTAATAGCTGGCATTTTGATTACCCTACGCAGATGGGAGTGAAGCAGATCTGAATAGTAAGGGAACAAAAATGACTCACATATGAGCTTTGGGAGATGAGGGGTGTTGGTGATGATCCAT